CGGACACTGCCCCCAATCCAGTGGTAGCTCTCACACTTCATTCTCCACTCTTTTGTGACCATGACCCCAAGATACTTCAACTCTGCCACCTGGGAAATTAACTCGTACCTGACCTGGACTCCTGGGCACTCCTAGACTTGGACAAGGAGGTGCTGATTCTCATTCCCACTACTTCACATTCGAATGCGAACTGCTCAAGCTGCAGGTCACCTGCTTGATGAAACCAACAGAACCACATCATCTGCAAAAAGCATAGATAAAATCCCAAGGCAAATGAAGCGGAGACCACTGTCCACCATCTGGCAAAACTAGATATTCTGTTCATTAAAAACTATGAACAGTATTGGTGACAAAGGGCAGAGTCCACTGAATCCACATGTCCCCAGGCTCCCTTGGAATGCAATCAAAGCTTTTTGGAGGTAGGAGTCTTAGGGGCCTCTGCTAGGTGTTGCCAGTGCACTCTCACTATGCATTTGGATACACCACATGAGTTCAGCATGTTCCCCTACCTGATCCAAGTCAACACCAAGTACCGATCAGTTGACAGCTCAGCACCTGTGTTCAATCAATTGAATTCACTTCACTTTGATCTGTGGCAAAATGCAGTGATTTTAAGCTTTAATGATTAAATTGATTCAGTTTCACAGCTCTAACGTCACCTTACAAATAAACAGCGTGCACTGAGCATGCACTCAGTCATAAAATAGTGAAATAATAAAATTTTTCTAAATAAATAATATTGATATTTGACACATTTGACAGGAGCTAAGTTCACTTGCTTGCTCTGAATTACCTATTTTTTTTTTTTTTTTTTTTTTACACCTTTACCTTTATGTTCGTTCATGTGGAAAGCTGAGCAAAATAAAAAGAATACAAGAGACACTGGAGGTGAACCTTTAATGTTTAGTGCAGTTTATCAGTTTTTAACTACAAAGAAAAACACGAAATGGCCAAATTCATGCAGGCCAGAAAACGGCAAAACCACAACAACAAGAATAATAACTACAACAATAATAACCACATCATGAATAATAATGATAATAATAATAATAATAAATATACATAGTCACACACACACACACAAGGTCAGCTGAGTACCAAAAACTGTAACAAACATCAGAAATGGCTTCAGTCTAGGAGTAGTGACGACGGGCGGGGCTACGAAACCTTTATAATTCAGGTAAGTCTGACTCGAGTTCTGATCCTCCGCTGTACCAAATCCTTCAGGGCCCATGTGAGCTGTAAACACTGACCTTTGACTTTCCTTTTCTTTGAACTGGACATGAGGGTCACATAATTTAGGTCTGGTTCTAAAATCAAACTCAACTGTTGAACATGTCACATTGTGCTTTACCGTCAATAGCCAATGAACTTTCACCTACTCAAAACACCAAATATTTGACCTAATCATCCAGCGTCTCTTGAATAGGATGAAGTGTTAGGGTCACATTAATTAAAAAAAGTGTCCATTTTGAGATTAAAGTTGAAATGTAAGCTCAAACTTGAAATAGTATTTTAAATTT